CCATCACTGATCCACAGCGGCAGCAGGATGTACCATCTGGAAGATGCCCTGCTGCAACTTACCAAGGCTCCTTGGAGAGCACCCACCAAGGCTGCTATCTCTGCCATCAAGAAGGGCAAAGGAAGCAGACAGATTGGAACATCATCCCCTGGGGAAGATACCCTCCACGTCACACACCATCCTAACTTGGAGCTACATTGCTGTTCCTTTACTGTTGATGCATTAAGAACCTGGAACTCCCTTCCTCACAGCATTGTGTGCACCAGATGGATTTCTGCAGTTCAGGACAACACCTCACTACCACCTTCTCCATGGCAATTAATTTGGGCAACAGATTGTGGCCCGGCCAATGACATTCATATTCTATGAAAGAATAAAAGAAAATTCTACTCAACACTATCCCATATTTAATCTTATATTTCACAATATTGCACCTGTTCATCTGTACATTGAATTTATTTTGAATCTTTCCATTGTAAGATATTCCTACTTTTTCCCTCAACATAAAATTGCACCCTAAACTTCTCTCAAACACTTCATCAATCAATGCCACTCTTCAAACCTTTCAGTCTAAGGCATCTTATTCTTCCATATTGCACTGTTTATCAGAATAGAAAAGTCAAATGATGTTTTAAAAACCCGAATAGCATTCAAAACTCAGATCTGTAAGCTCAACCTACTTACAACAGACATTTTAAATAAATATAAAACATTCTTAATATCAACATAAGTGGCAAATAGTCACCAAATGAAACATCAGCTGCTAGGAATAAAGACATTGGAAAGAAATCAGAGTTAAATTAATTTTTTTGTGAGAAGTCAAAGAGAAGTTCTGATTTTTTTTGGCAAAGGAAAGACAAAGTCAGTAAAGATGCTTCAATTTCCTCCCACACCAGCTAACAACACAACTGAAACAGTGTTTGGAAAACTTGCTAAAACCATGGCTCTTTTCTATAATGTTACCTTTGGCTGATTGCACAGGTAGTGGCAGAGCTCTCCTATATATTGAAATACTGTAACATTGTACTCTCGACAGTCATTCCAGAACTGGCTAGCTGAGAATTTCTTCTTCAGCACCAATGTTGCACCTAGATGGACACAAAAATGCACCTTTCAAACATTTGAACAGTATCTATAAAACTGTTCCCCATTCATATTCTGTCACTAATCTTGAGCTTCCATGACAATTACAATTGTAAGACAAGGATTTTGGATCAGCAGCAGAACACACACTATACACGTGGATGGGGTGAAACAGTGATGTAGCCATAGAATTTAACTGTGTTATTTTCAAGCTAATATTTGGGATCATCTGATCTCATTAGTTAAGCGTAGCAATCAATACAGCATTGACCCACACCAAACTGAAAATACATTAAAAGGCCGATGAACAGTTCAGGTTGAGATTTATTGTTAAAAATACCAAAGAATTGCAGATGCTGGAAATCAGAAATTGCTGGAAAAGTTCAGCAACTCCATTCTGATGAAGGGCCATTGGACCAAAATGTTAACTTTGCTTTCTCTCCACAGATGTTTCCAGATCTGCTGAGTTTTCCCAGCAATTTGTGTTTGTTTGAGATTCAATGCTATTCAATGCAAAGAATGAGGTGTCCAATCCAAAATGTTTACCAGTCCTTTATCTTTTCAGGTTTGGAGGTTTTACTTTGAATTCATGGCTTTATTTTGGATCATAGTTTGCTTATTCTTTCTTTTCCCTCCCTAACTTACTCCCCCTTCCTCTTCTGAAAATGCTAAATCCTTGTTCAACGGGTGGGAGTTCACGTCTAGTACCTTATCCAAGGTAGCGTTATTTAATGATTATTCAGGACGGATTAAGTAAGGTGTATTGGCATATGGATATAATTTTTAATCTCCATCTATGTTTGATTAACAGACCTCAGTCTGAGGAATACTGTAAGTTCTACTTTGGTTACGTGACCAAAAATCATCAGAGAGAAAACATAACCAACCAACACTTCAATTTCATATCGTTATCCACCCCATCCCACTGAGAACATGCCATTGTTGGGTTAGGTGTCAATGAGACTGCAGACCAAACATTGAAATGCTGATGATTAGCGAGCTTCCTTCCTCTGTACAACTATCCTTTAAAAGTTAGGACCTAAGATCCCTTGACAACATTCACTATTTGCAGGGACCCCACAAATAAAATGACTTTAAAATAACTGACTTATCCTTATGCAACTGATTTACTTTTGATCCAACTTACAGTAATGTTATGGGTTTTTAATATTCATCCAAATCATTAGAATAGACAGGCACCGTCTACAAAGTATTGTGTTATTTGCAATTTATTCACATATTGGCACATCAATCAAAATTATAAGCAAAAATGGTTAGGACTAGACTCCAAATTCTTAGATCCAAATGTTTATGTTATCGACAGCACCAAATAAACCTATGTGAAATGACCTAGTCAAAAGAATAATAGTAAGTAACTTGTTGTTAAGAGGCAGCATGTTTTTCAGGCAGTAAATAAGAGTCTGGAAGCAAACTTACCGAGCTCAATGCAGCCACAGATACCCAAAAGAGAAGCTGCACTATGATATAAAGGAAGTGGAACATAGATGATGTCATCCTCAGTGACTCCAAAGACCGACAAGCCAGCACTAGCCCTCAAGGATTGGAGCTGGGTGATTACAGCAGCCTTTGGTAACCCTGAAAATGTCCAAGATTTGATTTCACATGGCACAAATAGTAAAGAATTAACAATTATGGTAATATTACATTAATTAAGGAAAAACTCTCTTCAAATTGCTAAATTGTGACAAGGCCTACACACATGACATACTGCACTTCTTTAACACAAACATGTCCAAATGTTAACACACATGACTTTAATTTCCATCTGTTTCCACCTTGTATCTGTTCAGATTTGGTACTGGTTACTCAAGTATTATTAAAAGAAATTTTGTTCATTCACTGGTAGGTCTTGATGCTTTAAAACGGGTTGTTCTTGAGCCACCTTTGTGAACTACAAAGGTTCAAGTGGTGAAGACATATATTTTTAGATCATGTGATCTGATATGGCGGAGCATATGAACGTGGTTGTCCTTATTGTTGCAAGTGATAGAAGTCTTAAGTTTGGAAGGTGTTGAAAAGTTGCTACAGTGCCTCTCGGAGATGGAAAACAGTGAAGCAATGTTGCACAGTTGTGAGGAGAGTGAATGAGTGGGTAGGATACTAACCAAGCAGAATACTTTGTCCTGATAGGTGTCAGCATACCTGAGTACTGGTGGAGCTGTACTCATCCAGCAAAATGGTGAGTATCCCGTCAGGTTGGGATGGGAATGTTTGTGAGTGAGTGGCAGGTTCTAACAGCTGTTATCGCTTTGGACATCAGGAAGTTGGCAGGAATGTACCACTTTCTGCTTTTAACTTGACTGTGATCTTCTGTGCATGAAAATCGCTGTGATACAGCTGTGTCTGCTCTCCAATGATGTAAAGTGCGAATTATCCACTTCTTTAACAGTGAATTTTGAATTTAATAGTGCGCACCTTGGTTTCCTGGAACTCACCAGGAAAAACAAGGTGAAATGGCAGTGGGATTGGATGGGGCTGAGTAACTGACAAGCTAGAAGCCTTCTAAATGCAGAGATCGGACAACTATTTCCTTGCTTAGCTGAGAAGCTTTTGCTGACAGGAGCTATTCTGTTAGTGTGCTTTCACTGCTTTAGAGAGGATTCCTCAATATGTTCGAGGTCATTTCTTGGAGATTCTTCTCTTTATCTGCTTTTCCCACTTTCAAGGTTTGGATTAGTATGGGACCTTCTATACCACTTGACCATTGAGCTCAGGTAAGAAACAAGGTGAACAGCAACATTAACACAAACTGAACAGCAGAAGCAGCAACTTCCTGCTCACCAACCTGTCCCTCTGAAGAACTGCAGGTCTAGGAAGTGATATCACTAGGGAGCAGGGTTTACAGGCAGAGGGGAAACATCACAGAGATGATTTAACACAGACAGCTGAGAGTTTCCTGTAAGGTGGCATTCACTATCTCCTGCCAAATGGAACAGGTAGGCGCCCACTACCAGTGGCGAACCACCTCTGTCCTTGCCTTCTTCACCTCTGGCTCCCTGCAGGGATCTCAGTGATACTTGTAGAACTTTACCAGTTGCCCTCCAAGTTGACTAGTGTCAGTGTTTATCAGGTGTACAACCAATGTTTCCTTTAAAACGATGCCTTTGTGTGCAGTCAGCTTCTCAATGCACAGTGCCTTTAATTATTTTTGCAGGCCCTTGCGGTATTTATCACATGACAAGGCTTGCATTGTACCTCTGAGGCTGTGTAGCCACACCATCTCAGTTCATTAAGGTAAGAACAGATAGAAACTGTTCCAGTCGGTGAAAGGATTGAGAACCAGAGGAGGCAGATTGAAGGTAATTGGCAAAGGAACAATGGCAGGATGAGGGAAAATGTAATCACACGGTGAGCATGCAGTCTCATTCAGCTGGTCTCCATTGACAGAAAGATCTTCATTCAGGGTCATATAGATTCCTTCCCTGACTCTGCAATGGAGGCAGGGTTAACAAGACCATTCAAAAGGCTATTTGGTCATTACCTGGAAAGGAAAAATGTGCAGGGCTATGGGGAATAGCTGGATAGTGAATGGGTGAATTGCTTTTACAGAGGGCTGGCAAAGATGCACTGTGTTGAATGGCCTCCTTCTGTAAACATTCCATGATTCAAAATGCCCACAGAATGCTTCAAGTTTCACTCTAGCAGGGTCCCTTTAAAGAATTGAGCCGAAGTAGACTGATATGGGTCCCGTCCTTCCCAGTTGACCAGAAAAGTGGGAAGTCAGATGCTAATCCAGTGACTAGGTTTAAAACAGCTGATTGGCACACTTTTAAAACCTCTGGTTTCCATACGCTTTTCTGGATACTCCTCTACCAGTAGGTCAGAAAGTTATAAGTCCAGCCCATTGTCTTTCCTCATTCTTCCTCTCAATGGCGATAATAGATGACCGTACAAATCTGCTGCTGTCACAAAACAAACTCTGAAAAAGTAGACAGAAACCAGCTAAACAGGTCTTTGTTTTAACTGGTGTTTACAATGTGGTGCCTGCCCACTGATGGTTTTCAGCGTTATTGGATTCCACTGTTAAACTGTTAAATAAATTCACCATTATATCTGGCAATTTTATTTTCCTTATGACTTCAACAGTGTCTTGCAGGAATCACCTAACAAGTCTATAAAGGGCACATTCCATTTATGGTTGGATTTCCAACTCCCATCTCCCCCAGAAAATATCTGTGACTTCAAATTCCTAATGAGAACAAAACATTTCATTCATTAGTGTGCATTTAGCTGTAATACATTCTAGTGATCTTGCACTGATGTGTGCTTTAGTCCTCACTTTTAACAACTCATAGTTAGCATATTCATGTCTATAGAATGTCGAATAGTTTAAACTGCACAACAGCAATGGAATGGTTCCAGTCCGGGAGAGGGACTGTAGATGCAGCTGACCATCAGTGCTCAGGCTCTTTGACCAAGTAACCTGTCAATCAGGAAGGTCAATGTCCAAGGCGGTCAATCACATACACCATCTCAGTTATTCTGCACAACAGTGATCACTGGTCACTGGCCACGTACTACAGACCAGAATCCTCTGATCCTTCATATATCATTACCGCATGTTGGCACTGACATGAGGACTGTTCTACTACAGCCTCCTTTACCTCATACCTTGCTCAAGGCTGACAGCTTGCAAGGTAAGGCAAAGTGCTTAATTCTTTGCCTTCACACCAAACGGCCTTTCCCAACTCCTCCCTCTCAATGCCATGTGTGGGCCTGTGCTGGGCCCTTCCAGACCCCCTTCTTCATTGGTGTGTGGCCCTTCCCAACCTGACCTCACCTCAACTGTCCTGCTCCCTCTTGACACAAGCAGCTCTGCCAAACTCTTCCTCAAATGATATCAAATGAAGTGATTCTGTCAATTCATTTTCTACCACAGGAGCAATCATGATGTCTTTGAAAGCTTTCCATGATCACCTATTGTCACTATGTAGAGATTAAAAACATAATCCCTACTTTGAAGCAAATGTATTTATGGTACTGATCTGCCAAGTGAATGGGATAAGGAAAAACCCTAACTGGAACCGCTAAGATGCTCAGGAGGAAATAGTGGGCATTAAATGTAACACAGTGTGTATTGTTACCTCAGGTACAGGAGCACTTAGGCATCAATAAACATTTCAATGTTCACAATACAATAGTGTTACAGCAGTGAAAGAGGGTGAGTTTGAAAGAGAGTATGTGAAGAACAGTTGTGTGTGAGAGAATGAAAGAGTGGGTGCGAGAGAGACGGGGAGAGAGAGCGGAGTGAGAGAGAGAGGGAGAGAGCGCAGCAGAGAGAGAGAAAGAGGGAGAGTGAGAGAGAATGAGAGAGTGAGGGAGAGTGTGGGGGAAGGGGGGTGAGTCTACCTCCACAGCTCTCTGTGGCAAGGATTTCCAAAACTCACAACCCACTGAGAGAAGAAATTCCTCCTCATCTCAGTCTTACATTGGCACCCCTTTATTCTGAGATTATGCCCTCTGGTCCTAGACGCTCCCCTGAAGGAAAACTTCCTCTCAGTATTTACCCTGTCAAGCCCCTTAAGAATCCTATATGCTTCAAAGAGATCAACTCTCATTCATCTAAATTGCAAAGGCCAATCTGTTTAGCCTTTGCTCCTAAGGCAATCCCTCCATACCAGGGATCATCCGAATGAACCTTCTCTGAACTGCCTCCAATTAAATAACACTTAAATTTGTTGGTCTCTCAACAAATGCTGCACAACCTGTTGAGAATGTCCTTCATTTTCTCCTTATGTTTCAGATTTCCAACATCTGTACTTTGCTCTCCTATTTTGTATACATAATGTTGGGCATTTGTAAGCATGGTTAGTTCACTTATCACTCAATGCAAAGTGTAATTCTTTTGTTAACAAACACAAGTTGTATACATTGACATAACATATTATTGAGGTGAACGGGTTGGTACCATCTGATTAGGGAGATTTGCAGTTCTAAAGCTTAAATGAAACGAGGTGTCCTGTGCCAATAGAATATGTTCATTCTCATGTATACATAGGACTGTTATTAGAATATATTTGAGTTTCAAATCTTTTGGATTTTGCTGTCTTACTGAATAAAGCCAGATTCAAAGAAGCAGAGCTGGTTGCATAATAATGACGAACCAAGTTGTTTTTAAGTGTCAGACAAAGCCATTGCTGTAATGAGCATCACTTGGAGAGCTGAGCTTTTAATGAACTTTATGAAAAGTGGCAGAGTATAAAACCAAGTTGTTCTGTTCAACCTACATAAAACAGTTTAATCACACTAGAACTAAGTTTACCAATTCTGTTCACCTGAATCATGTGAGCAGGAGGGTTAAAGGGGGAGTTATCTCTCTGGCCCTGATGTAGACAATGTCAACTACATGACACTGACAATAAAAACTGTAATCCTAGAATGTTGTATTGTATTTTACATGCTATTCTTAGCTGAAATGTGTTTTGTGAAAGAATATTTGAGCAAACAAAGTAGATAGAAACGATAATAAATATTAATATTTTCATGGTGTAGTCAAGTGTTGTGTTGAAGAGATTGACTATGATAAAGGCACAATATAAATGCAAAATGCTTCTCTTGTAGCAATCTCCCTCAAAGAATACACACAACCTGCAGTAAGTCATGTTTTCTTAGGATCATGTGATACCCATTCACGCAATCTACTGTTCACACACAATATCCCCAGACCCCGACAAACGAAACTTAGCATCTTTGTTTTCATTTTGAAATCCCTCCACAGCCCTGTCCCACTGATGATGCAAACTCCTTCCAGCCTTATTGATTGATACCTTTAGTACACCTCTCCATCAACCCTCACCACAATGACAGTAGCAGAGTGTTCCATCACAATCCCGACACCCCTCTGTACACCTCTCCAACTTTCTTCTTTATTACCCAGGATTAAGAAAATTTGCCTTTTGACCAAATCATTTGACACCTTTCCTCATTTCTCGATCCATGACTTACTGTCTATTCCCTCAACTGTGTTCACAAATTGTTTTCTTCTCTTAAAAATACCTTGGTGGCTTTTTTAAAAGCCAAAGCAACTATATCAACGCAAGCTATTGTTCTGTAATGTAGGAAGAAAACACATCATTTTTCAGTCTTCAAATAAAACAAATTTCAAAAAATTATCCAAACCAGAATCCTAAATACCTGTTGTCCCTGAAGTGAATATGTACAGAAAGGTAGATTTCAGATTGACTGTCGATTTCCATGTATCTGGCACAGGACTGTCTGGTGCTTCTTCCACTTTATCTGCGAGAGTATTCACTCCATTGAGAGTACAAGTTTTCCCCATAACCCAGACAGATATGTTATTCTCCTGGATATTGGTCAGAATGTCCCTCACAACATCAACTAGATCTGCAAGTTCAAAAAAACCATAAGTTTATAAATATGAAAATTGAATATCACATAAGCAGTTTCTAAAGCATAATATTTACTTACAAAATAATAATTGTATATTGACATAAAGTTTAGAGTTACAGGCAAGTACAATAGAGGAGGAAAGAATTCTACCCATTAAAAAAGTGCCATTCTTTGACAGAGTAATGGAAATAGTCCCAGTCTTTTCGATAACAATACAGCAATATTCCTGTTCCTACTGTTAGTCTGACACACTTCTGAGGGTATTTCACCTTCTGTGAGATGCTACAAAGGTCAGCTTTATTACTGGTCTCCAATTACCCTTGAGAAGGTGGTGGTGAGCTGCCATCAGGAATCACTGCAGTGCATGTGGTATAGATACACCTAAAGAGGAGAGTTCCAGATTTTATACATTGGAACAGTGTATAGTATCCAGTTAGGATCGTGTGTGACTTAGAGAGGAACTTATACGAGGTAATGTTCCCAATGTGGTCAGTTCCCAATTCTACTAAATGATAGAGACTGTTTGTTTGGAAGATGTTGTTGTCACAGTCTTGTTCAGTTGCTACAATGTACGCTAATAATAAGTATACACTTCTGCCTTTGAGCACAAGTCGCAGAGGGAATAGTTGTTCCAGGTGATGGTTGGGGTTACAATCATATGTGCTGCTTTGTCCTGTCAGTGCTAAGTTTTTTGAGTATTGTCAGGTAGCACTTAACATCGCATGCCTCTGTTGTGGCCTTTAGATGATGGGCAGGCTTTGGACAATCAGAAGGCGACCTAATTACCATATAATTCTCAGTCTGCATTTGTAGTCACAGTATTCTTATTGAAAAGTTCCAGGTCAATGGTAACCTGCAGGATGTTATTGAGTCATACAGCATGGAAACAGACCCTTTTGGTCTGATTTGTCCATGCCAACCAAGTTTCCCAAACTAAACTAGTCCCACTTACCTGTATTTGGCCCAGACCCCTCTAAACCTTTACTATTCATGTACCTGTCCAAATGTCTTTTAAATGTTGTAGCCTGCATCTACCACTTCCTCTGGCATCTCATTCCACATATAAACCACCCTCTGTGTGAAAACTTGTCCCTCAGGTCCTTTATTAAATCTTTTTCGTCTCACCTTAAAAATATGCTTCCCTCGTTTTGATCTCCCCGATCCTAGGGAAAAGGCCTTTGCTATTCACCTTATCTATATCCCTCATGATTTTATAAACCTCCTATGCTCCAGTGAAAAAAGTCCCAGCCTATCCATCCTCTCCTTGTAACCCAAACCCTCCATCGCCAGCAAATCCTCATAAATCTTTTCTGAATCCTCTCCAATTTAATAATATCCATCAGATAGCAAGGCAACCAGAACTGTGTCACCAGAACATGTCTGTCAAACCAGGACACATCTCACCAACGTCCTGTACAGCCTCAACATGACATACCGATGGCCTAATCAATTATTGTTGAGGTTACATGCTCAAATAAAAGGAAAAAAAAACTGCAAATGCTATAAATCTGAATTGAACACACTAAATTCTGGAGAACCTCAGCAGGTCCGGCAGCTTTTGTGGAGAGAGAAACAGTTAACATTTTGAGTCCAGCAATGTCGTTGTTCAAAACAAGACAAGTCATACAGGAAGAGTTAAGAATTTGAATTAGCTAAATACTATGATGGTGGGAGCTTCCAGACGATGCTAAGATGTAAGAGTTACTTGACATCTCTGGACAAAGATGGTTGTAAATGCTCCAGCTTGTCTTTTTCACTAAAGATCAGCCTCAGCTATCATCGAGGAATGGGATGTTTTTTGGATCTGCTTCCTCTGGCTTTTTATTTAACTGTCCACCACCATTCATAACTGGAATGCAGTACTTTAAAATTATCCACAAGTTGTGGGATTGCTTAATGTCTACTACTGAATGGTGCTTCTGATGTTTATGCCTGCAAACTCTCCTTTGATGTAGCTTCAGCTGGTTAACATCTTATTTTTAGATTTGATTTATGCTACACTTGGCATGCTCTCCTAAATTTCCCACTGAACTAACAGCTGGTTCTCTGCCCAGACGGTAATGCTAGAGTGATGGATCTACCAGGCCATGAGGTCACATATTGTGACTGGATATAATTCTTTTCCATTTATTTATTCATGAGATGTAGGTGTCACTGGCTAACCCAGCATTTATTGCCCATCCCTAATTACCCAGAGGGCAATTAAAAGTCAATCACATTGCAGTGAGTTTTGAGTCACATGTGGGCCAAACCGGGTAAAGACGGCAGATTTCCTTCCCTCAAGGACATTAGTGAGCCAGATGAGTTTTTCCAATAGTCAACAATGGTTACACAGTCACCATCAGACTAGCTTTTTATTCAAGATTTTATTCAAGTCAAATTCCATGATCTGTTGTGGTGGGATTCCAGACACAAGTCAGAGCATTGGCCTGGGGTTCAGGATTACTATCCTGGAGACATTACCCCTACACATTTAGCACAGTGTTGACGCCATATATGCCTCAATATTGTTTCCACTATTTGATGTCCTGTAGGTCACACCAGTTTGTATAACAGCTACTGTATTCTGTATTAATTCCGAGCAAAAACCTCTACCTTTCACTCCTCAACCACAGCATCCTTTCCATTAATATAATACATTTTCTAAGCAATACTACCAGACTCCTTTTTTTGCCTCCTTTGTTATCTTTCCTGAATATGTTGTAGCCAGAATCTGACCCACAGACTGCAATCAGTGAAAACAGATAACTGCACCTCCTCCATGATTATACAGAACACTGCAGCCCCCCAAAGGACGCATTCTCAGCCCCCTACTGTACTGCCTGTACACCCTTGATTCTGTTGCCATACTCCGAACAAACGCCATCTACAAGTTTGCTGACGACACGACAATGGTAGCACAGATATCAAACAACGATCAGTCAAAATGATAGAAAGGAGATAGAGGGCTTGGTGGTGCGTGGAATGAGAACAAACTCTCTCTCAATGCTGGCAAAACTAAAGAACTGATCATTGACTTCAGAAAGGAAGGAGGAGAAACGTCCCCATCTACGTCAATGGAGCTGAGGCTGAGAGGGTGGACAGTGTCATGTTCCTAGGAGTGACGATAACCAACACCCTGTGCTGGACATCCCATGTAGCTGTGATGATCAAGAAGGCACAACAATGCCTCTTCTTCCTCAGGTGGCTCAAGAAATTTGGCATGTCCATAAGGTCCCTCACCAACTTCTACAGATGTACCATAGGAAGCATACTGTCCAGGTGCATAATGGCCTGGTACGGCAACTGCTCTGCCCAGGACCGTAAGAAACTACAGAAGGTCGTGTGCACAGCCCAGACCATCACGGAAGCCAACCTTCTATCCATGGACTCTATTTACATGGCCCGTTGCCGTGGAAAGGCAGCCATCATCATCAAAGATCCATCGCATCCCAGTAATGATCTCCTACAACCTCTTCTGTCAGGCAGAAGATACCGAAGCTTGAACACATACACACCAGCAGGTTCAAGAGCAGTTTCTTCCCTGCTGTTACTAGAATGATGAACGAACTCTCTAATTTCAAATAAAGCTGATCTTGGTAATGTTGATGTTGCCTAGCACACGCCCTGTGTGACGTAACTTATATGCCTCTGTCTAGCTTTTTTTCACCCTATGATCTATGTGTCCTTACTTCCTATGATCTGCCTGTACTGTTCGCAAACAAACCTTCTCACTGTACTTAGGTACACATGACAATAAATCAATCAAATAAAATCAAATCAAAAGTTCGCATCCCTCCCTTTCTTATTGTAATTCTCTTCCATTTGGTGCATGACACCTGCTGAGACTGCACAAGTCATTTTATCATGAGACCAAGTATTCCCATGGCACTGAGTCCGTTTCTAGAACTCTACAGCAGCATCAGGTTTGAGTTCCAGTCAATATCTGCAATGGGAAAATGAAAGAGACAGGAAAAGCAATTCCCCAAGAACTGACTTACTGTCCTGTTGCAATCCCATCAATTTTCAAACAGAAAGGTTAAAAAGAGTATACATTTATATGAATGAATGAATATGTGAACCTGTTGCTTATATACCCCTGACAGCATCCATGCCACCCCAAATATTGAAGTGACTGTGGTGAACTGTGTCAATGTGAAGGAAATGAGCCAGTTCTGTTTCTTTCCCACAATTATAGCATTAGACATCATACAGATTAAAGCTATTCCCTCCCTACTTAATAATGTACCTCATTTCCAATTTAGATAAGCACATTTTACTGCACTAATACTATATTTGTCTCTTCCTGCATCACTTATTTTTATGACTGCATTAGGTAATTTTGTCTTAAACAGCTGTGGATTGTTTAATTGTGTCAGTGGTTCCTATTTGAGCCTTGAACAGCCCTGAAGGAAAGGTGACTAGTTCAATAAAACCAAACTTATGAAGACCTGGTTCAAAAAAGATCTCACTTAATTAAAACAGAGTTTTGTTTTGGTTTATTTCCAGCTTCTTGTGAACTCAGCAGCTTTACTTTCAGGCTGATCCTGGCTCTGTAAGACTTATCCATTGGGACTGACACTGGATAATATGTAAACTAATATTAAAGCACTTTCAATTGAGATGAGCTTTTTGTTGTGAATTTATCAAATTAATTGAACTTTAAAACCGATACATCCTTAGAAAAGTGTAGGTTCATTGCTTCAAACAGTGCTTCATTCAATTTCAGATAAAGGTGAAGAAACTACTGGATGAAATCTCATGGTTCAGTGAAGAAAGAAATCAGCACATGAAACTAACCTCTATTCAGACATCAGACACCATGGAAATGCTAGAACAATCTATGGTGCTCTTTTATTATGAATGCAAGAAAAAGGATCAGGAATAGGCCATTTAATCCCTCAAACCTCTATTGTTTTACAAAAAATGCAGATTCCTTTCTTTTGTGATTCAATAGTTTATTGTGATTTTAATTATTATTAATTTAAACTAAAAAGAAAACTGTGCACTTCCAT